GGCAGGCGGATCTCTGAGTTCGAGGCCAGCCTGGTCTCCAGAGTGAGTTATGGGACAGCCAGGGCTACACAGAGAAACCCTGTCTTGAAAAAAATAAGTAAGTAAATGAAGTTTATAGAAATAATACAGAATAAAAGAAGATGATTAGAGTAGGAAAGGCATTTCCAAATAGCTATCTGCTCAAGTTGTCAGCTTTGGCCTAGTGGACCCATGTACTCATGTCATAGAGTTCAATTCTCGGTCCAAGAAGAAGAAGAAGCTGCTGGTAGACAGGGACTAGAAGGGGGGAAGGTGACGTTTACATATTTGGCTTGCTACTTTGTAATGATAATTGTCCCTCCTGGTTATATATGCTAAAGTCTACCATGGCTCTGTTTACTGCCAGTATCCAGCACAGACAGGCCAATAAATCTACAGACACTGTGAAGATATTTTGTGGCTATTTGAGCGAATGGTAATAGCTTTCCTGGAGAAATGAAAGGACGGAGTGGAGGAAAGCCTTTCTCATTCATTTCCTTGTAACATCCCTGATTCTGTCCATTTTAACATTTCCTAATTCTATCCTTTTCTTAAATAAAAACTCTGTCCTTGCTTAGCCTTTTCATTCTCAGGAACAGGATCCCAGAAGAGATTTAAGTTGGAAAACAGAGGTCCTTGGGTACTAGAATGAGCCCATCCCAAATCCCATCTCTCTGACTCTGGTCAAGGTTTCTTCTGATCCAGCTTTTGGTGAGATTACTTCTCTTCATAGTTCCTGAAATTTAGCCAATAGCTCTTTCTGAGCTAAGACACCTTTCCTTCTTCTTGGAATCAATACTAACCAGTCATTCATCAGTTCTTTTCAATGGATTTTTACTGAGTGTAGACTATTTGATGAGGTTTGAGCCTGGAAATGGGATTATAGTGAGCAAGAGGAGTAGTGATTGCAGAGGTATTCCTGACACGGTGGGAACAAACCAGGGGTCTTCCGTTCTGTGAGTCAGTCTGATGTGTCCTTTGCTTTCTTGGAGCCTTGGGGGCAAGCTGAGCATTGGTTTTGTGGTTAAGTGAATTCTGAAATGATATGGGAAGGAGGGGGGAGTCCAGTACCGAAAGTGCAGAGCAGCTCTCCTATTAGGAGCTTTCTATTTAGCCCCAGAGAACAAATAAACCAGTAAAATCACAGAGTCTGAAGGCACAGAGGTGGATGGACTAGTCTCTTTCCTGCATTTACAAGGACTAAGGAACGACCTCGTGACTACAAATAAAGCTAGCAAAAGGCCAAGCTAATTCCAGCATTGGGGGGATAGATGAACCTTCTTGGTTTTGAGGTGCAGTTAAGAAAAGAAATCATGAAACATGAGCATAAATAAAGATCTGGGTTATGCCTTTTTCCAATACTGCCTGTGGTACATCCCCAGTCTCGCTGCGTGGCTCCCAAATGGCCAGATGAGGGGGCGAGGAGGAAAAAAAACGAGTTTTGGACAGCACACATTGACACTGAATGAAAAGTCAGCAAAAACCACTGGGTGGCAGCGTGGTGTGCG